CAAGGCTTTTCCTTGGCCTGTCTCCAGGACGGTCGCTAAGTAAATCACTCTGTGGTAAGGAAGGAACGTTTAGAATTCAAGACCGTCCGAAGTGTTCCGTGTCCCACTTTGCTTTGACCCTTATCCGCATATCCTGGCTTATGCCTTCAGGTATTGAGAGTAAAAAGAAAAGAAAGAAAAATGGATATTGTATAAAGGGGAATGTTGCACAGGATGCTGATTAAAATGATTCAGTCGTATCTGTCAGCCATGTGTTCTTCTGCCCTCTTACAAATCCTCTTAGTTGCAAGATATACAGTTAAACATTTTTTTCCCTCCCAACCTTGGAGGGAAAAGAAACAGATTCACAATGCAGGCCTGTACCCCATTTAACCTCTTTTTACTGCTTAATTGAGACTCTCTCATTATACCCCACAAAAAAGTACCGGTGAGGCTAATTCAGCTTCATTCAAGCATAGAGTAATTATGCTGTTAAAAGAGCACCTTAAATAGACACTTCAAGTTTGTCTTTGTTTGGTGTTTTATCTGTCAGATCACTGTATTTTTTTTGTCTCCTGTTCCCAGAGTGGCGGGTCTCATGTTGTAATGTTTTATTTTTGAGAGTTTGGAGAACCCAGCTGGAGTTTAACTGACTTGTTTCTCCTCACCTCTCAGGTGGTCATGGCCCCTCACGAGCCGTCCGTGGTCTTTGTAGACAACTACATCAAGCTCCTTGCTGACAGCAATCCTGAGACGTTCCAAAAGATTCTAGATATGAAGGTGAGTCGGTTTTATTTGCATCAGGGGTTTGCATCATCATCATATTTCATGAGATCCCACCACCAGTAAATCAGGGATTCCACATAAAAGGAATTTTAAAATGGATAAAATTGTGTAATATGTACAGGTGCATCTCAATAAATTAGAATGTCATGGAAAAGTTCATTTATTTCAGTAATTCAACTCAAATTGTGGAACTCATGTATTAAATAAATTCAATGCACACAGACTGAAGTAGTTTAAGTCTTTGGTTCTTTTAATTGTGATGATTTTGGCTCACATTTAACAAAAACCCACCAATTCACTATCTCAACAAATTAGAATATGGTGACATGCCAATCAGCTAATCAACTCAAAACACCTGCAAAGGTTTCCTGAGCCTTGAAAATGGTCTCTCAGTTTGGTTCACTAGGCTACACAATCATGGGGAAGACTGCTGATCTGACAGTTGTCCAGAAGACAATCATTGACACCCCTCACAAGGAGGGTAAGCCACAAACATTCATTGCCAAAGAAGCTGGCTGTTCACAGAGTGCTGTATCCAAGCATGTTAACAGAAAGTTGAGTGGAAGGAAAAAGTGTGGAAGAAAAAGATACACAACCAACCGAGAGAACCGCAGCCGTATGAGGATTGTCAAGCAAAATCGATTCAAGAATTTGAGTGAACTTCACAAGGAATGGACTGAGGCTGGGATCAAGGCATCAAGAGCCACCACACAAAGACGTGTCAAGGAATTTGGCTACAATTGTCGTATTCCTCTTGTTAAGCCACTCCTAAACCACAGACAACGTCAGAGGCGTCTGACCGAAACCTGGGCTTCCATACCACCTCAGCAGTGCCACAAACTGATCACCTCCATGCCACACCGAATTGAGGCAGTAATTAAAGCAAAAGGAGCCCCTACCAAGTATTGAGTACATGTACAGTAAATGAACATACTTTCCAGAAGGCCAACAATTCACTAAAAATGTTTTTTTTATTGGTCTTATGAAGTATTCTAATTTGTTGAGATTGAATTGGTGGGTTTTTGTTAAATGTGAGCCAAAATCATCACAATTAAAAGAACCAAAGACTTAAACTACTTCAGTCTGTGTGCATTGAAATTATTTAATACACGAGTTTCACAATTTGAGTTGAATTACTGAAATAAATGAACTTTTCCACAACATTCTAATTTATTGAGATGCACCTGTATATATACATTGGGGGAAATAAGTATTCAACATGTCAACATTTTTTTTTTATTAAACACAGTTCCAATGCAACAATTCCCATTAAATTTTGACCAGATATTGCTATTAACACAAGAAATCTATGCAGAAAAAGAAATCATAATATTACAATCCATAAAAAAGTTGTTTAATAAAGTGGAATGACAGGAAAAAAAGTATTGAACGCTAAAAAAAAGTAGTATGGAAAGACCAGGCAAGGCAAGACAGCAGCTGATTTCACTAAGTAGTTCTTCCTCTCACCAGTGCAAATTAGAATCAGCTGGGTTAGTGCACGTTGATAGGTTAGAAAAAGGCTTACCCACCTCTGAATGCAAGTATACAAACATCTCATGATGGGTAGAGGCAAAGAGCTCTCCCAAACCTTTGCAATAAGATTGTTGTGGTACATAACAACGGTACTGGTTACCAGGGTTGGGGAGTAACGGAATGCATGTAACGGCGTTACGTAATCAGGATACAAAAGTCTAGTAACTGTAATCCGTTACAGTTACATCAAAAAACAAAGTATTCAGATTACAGTTATATTTTGTAAAAAGTGGGAATACTATCAGGATTACATTTGCTTGATTTAAAATTAAATAAATGAGTATTTTGACATAACGCTATATATTTAGCGCTGCATAGTTCCTGGTTCTGTTGACTCACGTGAGCCGCCTGCTGGTGCGTGCGCAAATAACACCCGTCTACAATTATTCTCCTCAAACGCGGGATGAGACGCTGCTACAGTAAATGAATTATGATGCTTCCTGCTGTGAAAAACTGAAATTTCACAGTTATTTTGTTTTCAAAGAGGATAAAGGTAATAACAAAGTTGTACAGAGTAAGCTATGCATGAAGACTCTTGCTTTAACAAAGACTACTCAACCAACTTGAGCATTTGCAGGTACGAGTCCGACTAGCATGGAAATCATCATGTTAGCTCAAATTTGCTGTAGTGTTTGTTAGGTATTTAAAATTACATGGTGTGCATGACTGCAGTTGTAAGTTTTCTAGCGGAAAATTAGCCTGAAAATGTAGAAATTAACATGAGTGTCCCCACACCCCGGATCAGTCAATTAAATAAAGAACGATCATAGCATTTCACATGCATTTCAACATGTAGGCTTATTTTAAAATAGACTAATATGTATATGGTGTAAATTTTTTAATGTTGTGTATAAACTACATTTATTTTTACTTGTACAAACTGTAATACGAAACTGTATAGCCACTAGATGTCTGCATAGCCTTTTATATGAATATACGGCCTGTAATATCTAGATGGTGAAACAAGACACGATTTTTAAATTTCAAATAGTTTTTACTACAGTTTTTATTAGTTTTAATTTTAAAGTCATAGTTAAATAAAAATACTTAGATATTGCTTTTTTGACTTATTTACATATGTAACTTGAAGTAATCCAGAAAAGTAATCCTCCCAACCCTGCTGGTTACCGATGGATTTCACAACTACTAAATGTACATCACTCCACCATCAGTCGGCTATGCACATAAATGATTTAAAAGATCTTTGAAATTCATTGATCAAAAGTGTCTACCTCTTTCC